GAAAGCAAGCAATAATCCGTGCAATCGATATAGCACCTCTCAAAGCATTTCACAGAATATACTGTAAAGTGATGTCACTCTGCGTATTTATTGGTGAAATGTGGCAGCCAATTTGTGCACAGCCATAGAGTGAGTGTCCAAATTTATTTGGGGGATTGTTGGCCAGGATATAATATGATAGGCTAAGAGCAGGTGGAATTTCAGCTCTACAGTCACATGTTTGATACATGAGTTGCTTGGGAGGAATTGTTTTTTTACAGTATTAATCAGATTTGGCAAAATGAAAAGGTTTCTACTCTTTAGATATCGTAACTTCTTTTGTTCATTATCTCAATGCATTGGCAATAATTGGAAGAAAGATTTGATGATGAAGTCCATCAGTATCATCCTTTTCATCAATGAGAACAGAGAGAAATTCCATGTGAGTCTACCCGTACACTATTTTAGCATTTCAAATTGTGGTGAATTTGGCGAATTCTTAAATTCAGTCTAAATGAGTCTGGTTTTCTCTAGGTTACTTTAAGATCTCAACATAAAGAACTGCATTTAAGAATGTGCCAAATTCGGTATCATTTTAAATAATAAGAAAATAGAGGAGACCCAGGTGTGATTTCTCAACAGGATGTGAATGTCAGACCAGATTGTAAGGATCCTGTTTGAAATATTTTGGGGGCACTTTTTTCCAGTTTGTGATGGGTTTGGATTTACAGCACAATTGTCTTCCATTTTAGCACTAAATTGTAAGTAAGTCGGAACCCGGTTGTTAATTAATAGTCCCTTTCTTGGGGTAATAATCCCTTCCAAAAATGTAATAATAATAATAATTTGGTCACTCAATCCAGGCTGTTTGTGGAAAATTGCTGTGCGCAATTGGCTGCTGCGTTTCATCCACAAAATATACAGTTAATTCACTTTACAGTGTATGATGTGAAGCGCTTTGAGACATCTTAAAGACGTGATAAAGCGCCATATCAAATGCAAGGATTATTATTATTATAAGGCACCATATCCAATGCAAAGATTATTACAGTATTTATTATTACTGGATTTGTGACTCTTTATGTTTAGGAGTGCTCATACTTTAAATTCAGAAAATATATATAACAAACCCATTAAAGATTTGTAAGAAATGTAATCAATGATTGGCCTTAAATGAGTAGAGAATGAGTAACTGTGATGAATTGACAGAGTCACATATGAGTCTCATAGCCCCTGACCTTTGCAACCATCATTATAAAGGAATGGACAAGAAGAAAATTAAAGAATTAAAAAGATATATGAGATAGCAGAAGGATTATGTTACAAATGAGCCACTATCCTATCTGTAGAATAAGGATAAAGAAACATCCAAATGGCCTATTCAAGAGCGATAGACATTTTAGCAAAGGAGCATTATGTAGGGCTCATGGGTGTCAGAGCTACAAATGCTGTAAATGGAATAAAAATAAACATGCTTGAAGTGTTAGAAAATTGATAATAGGACATGACTGACTTGCCAACAATGGAGGTAATGAGACATTTAGTGATGTCACAACGTCGCAGATTAGCAATGTTAGAGAGGAAATAGGCCACTGAAAGTGGAACCTCGTAGGCGGTATCTCATAAGCTGAACAATGCAGCTCACAGTATGCATAAGTGCTCTCATCACCCTGGTGAGGCTCAATATGTGCAGAAATATTTTCCATAATTTCAGAGTTGCTGAATAACATTTGCGCTGAGTGGTTTCACACAAAAGTTTGCAAATACTTTTGTCTTTTTTCACATCATTAAAATACAATATCTTTCCATCAAGATTCCCCTGCAATTTGCTTCTCTCTCTGCAATGACACATTACCAGGGTACAGGCCCATTGGCACTCTTGGCTTTGAACTATTCCCTGGAGAAAACCTGTTTTACGTCACAGATGTTTTTTGCTGGGGGGCAAGCAGCTAGTGCATTGATTTTAGATGCTCCTGTGTGCTAAATATATCACTACATAGAGCATTATTTCTAAAACATTGCACAAATTGACGGCCATCCTGGCTTACAAATACACAGTCACTACATTTGACATGCTTTGATGCATTACTAAATTATAAGCGCAACAATCTACATTTATATAGCTTCTATGGGGGTGGGGGGGGAGGTGTTGGTTGGGGGTTGGCAGGGAAGAGAAGTTGAGAAGGAGAGGGGAAAGGCGGCTGAAAGCATCGTTAGAGACATAGATATTAAGATGGGTTTTGAAGGTGGAGTGAGAGGGGCTCGTGGTCACCTTTGCTCATCTCCTACCCCTACTCTCTCTGCCTTGAACCCCTCCTGATCGCTACCCCCAGCTCAGGTCTAAATCTCTGACTGTCCAGGACTTTGGGATGTCCTCCTGATATGAAAGGTGCTATACAAATGTAATTTGTTGTTGTTATTGTTGTTTTGCTGTTGCTTATGAGATAATTAATTAAAATGAATGCTTTTAATGTCGACCTGAAAAGTTATCCTTATTCTTTGTGGCTTTGATTATCCTCATTTTATTATGGTTAAACATCAGCAGTGACTAGAAGGCATTAATTTAAGACTACTAAATTAAGATGACTCATCTTCAAGGCCTTCCACGATGTTGTTCTTTCCTACTTCTGTGTCCTGCTAACCCCATATCAATCTATCCGCTCCCTCCACTCAGGCTGTGGTGTGCTCCACGTACCTCACCTGACCCCGCCCCACCATTGGCGGTCGGGCCTTCAGCCTCTCTGCCCCAACCCTTTGGATCTCCATCCCAGAGCAGTCCCTTTGCCTCGCTCCTCCTCAAGGCACGTCTCAAAACCCTCCTTTTCAACTGCGCTTTCGGCCACCTTCCTAACCTCGCTGATCCCATTCCCCCAGCTCAGGTCCAAATCTCTGACTGTCCAGCACCTTGGGATATCCTCCCGACATGAAAGGCGTCATACAAATTTTGTATTGTACTGTCAAGGGGGAAATTAATAGCACTTTTTTACACAAGCAGTGTTAGGAGATAGAATGAAACAAAAACAGAAGCTGCTGGGAACACTCAGCAGGTCAGGCAGCATCTATGGAGAAAGGAAAGTGAGTCAACGTTTCGGGTCCACGACCCTTCATCAGCACTGGGGCATGTTAGGAGGGAGAGGCTTCTTTCTATCTTTAAATCCTGCCTAAAATCCTACCTCTTCGACTGCGCTTACAACCATCTCCCCCACTCCTCCCTCACTTCACATCCAACCAGGTAAAGCACTCAGACATTATCTTATGTGAAGAGTGCTATGTAATAATAATAATCCTTGCATTTGATATAGCGCTTTTCACGTCAGGAGGACGTCCCAAAGCGCTTCACAGAAGACACTGTAAAGTGAATTGACTGTATATTTGTGGGCGAACGCGGCAGCCAATTGCGCACAGCAATGTCCCACAAACAGTCGTAGATTGAAAATGACCAATTTATTATTGTTTTTGGTTTTGGAGGGATTATTATTAGGATCTGTTTTTTTTTTGTTGTTGCTTAGCTGTATAGGCTGCTGACATGCACTCTCCAAGTTACGCAGGGTGAGGTTTGGAGGGTAGATGTGGAACCCTAGCCCAACTTGAGTCAATGACGTCCAAACAGATGGGAAGGAAAACTGGGTGACAAAACAGAAAAAGATTCTATTGACCATGTTGGCAATACCCTTTTTTCTTCTCATATTTCATGCACTACATAGATAGATCAATAGCTAACTAGTCATCATTTTCTTGTCACATAGCTCACACAATCACGCATTCCCTGTTCTTGCTGAGTGAATAATGCGATCAAACTCTCAATACAAGTCATCACTTCACAAAGCAACTGGCTGAATTTGTAGTGATTTTATTGTTAGAACAGATCATCCTGAATGTTGTTCTCAGGCAAACAATCAGATTAAAGGGAAATCCTGTTATTTCTATTCAGGCTCAGAACAAAGTCACATGTTAGACGAACAGTCATTCTTTTGCCCAGACTCATATTCTACAATGCAAAATCAACAACAACCCTCTTTCTCATTGGTAGCACATCTCAAAGCACTTCACTGTATATTTTGTAGGTGAGCATGACGCAGTGTGAAGGTTACAATAGAATTCAGTGAATCTGTATAAATATTATCTGGAGGATTCTGAGGTGACAGTCGTTAGCACACTCACTTCTGAACTGGAAGGTCATAATGACACCCACAAGCTGAAAGAAAAGAAAATCAAAAGAAAATCTTCCCTCCCCTGAATCTTATGATGAAGAAAATTAAAAGTTATTAAATATGGGAACATTTTATTGTGTGACTGCATACCAGGTGTTCTGCTCCCCAGGATTGACCTTACCTATCTCAATTTGGATGCCTAGAGCCCTTTTCAGAATCCTGTAGCGTAGTGTTTAGCGCTCTCTCCTCGCAAGTGAGAGGACATGGGTTTGATTCCCAGATGGGGCAAAACTTTAGGCAAGGTTCCTTACTCCATGTGCCTCTATTTACCCAGCAGTAAATAGGAACCCAGTTGTTAGTCGATTAGCGGATTGCTTTCCGGGGTAATAATCCCCCCACCAAAAAAAAATTGGTCACTCAATCAACCACTGTTTGTGGAACACTGCTTTGCACAAATGGTTCCTGTATTTCGCCCAGAAAATACAGTCAATCCACTTTACAATATATTCAGTGAAGCGCTTTGAGACATCTCAACCACATCAAATGCAAGGATTATTAATATATGCAAAAAAAAGTAAAGCTATAAATGTAAATAAAAAAGCACTAAAAAAAGGTGGTTATTGTAGAATATTTAGAATCCCCCCCCATCCAAAAGTGCTGGGGAGTGGGAGGTTAGGAGATTAAGAGATCTTTGTTTCTCTTGGTGCTGGTGAGCTATTAAGAGGCTATGACATCCAACGTTAAACAGCCAGCTTGCGTCCGTCCCTCTGTTCGTCAGAACATTTCTATTGGTTTCCTTGAGCAAGTGGGAGGATTGTGGCGTTCACAGAGCTCAATAAATGAGGCGGCTCCACAATCAGCTCCGACACCATCATCAGGGGAAGCTGAGCAGTGGGAAGGGAGCTCAGAGGAAACAAACACACACACACACACACTGAACAATCTGGTATGTTGCAGATCAGAGAAAGTAAAAGTAACTGTAGTACTTGGACTCGTGCAGACATTTCTCCTTCAATGTCCCGACTTTGTGCATCTGTCTAATATCCCAGACAAGACAAGACTGACAGAGAATTACAGTGACATTACACCCAGACTCTTTCATCCTCACAGCCCTAGTGGGAAGAGAACCGATGCGGTTTCACACTATGTCGACTAACTTACTGTTAGTTCCTATCCCCGAGGCGTTTGATCATATAATCAACAGGGACATTAAGATCGCTGTTTTGGGATCCAGTACTGTTGGGAAAACAGGTGAGTCTCACGTTTAAAATACACTAGACTATTCCAAAAAGCCTTTCCAAAAGCCTAATTTTTTTTCTAAATTTCTTTTGTGCCAGTTGCATTTTGTTTGTTGTATTGTGGTTTATCAAAGGGTAACGATGGGTTTGCTTATGGTCTTTTACTTTTTAAACGACTTGTGTTGCATTGTTACAAAGAAGGAGGCATCTCGCATTTGCAATAGTAATCATCATAATAATCCTTGCATTTGATGTAGCGGCTTATCACATCTTCGAGACGTCTCAAAGTGCTTCACAGAATATACTGTAAAGTGCAGTGACTGTATATTTTGTCAGTGAAGCATGTTGTGCACCGTTTATGCGTTATTTGGTTGTATATGTGGTAATGCTAATTGATTGGTGTAAGGGTACTTAGGACAATTGTTTTCAACTTAGCGACTGGGAACCACAGTCCAGTCGCCTCTGCAATTTAGGAACAGATCCAGCCCAATAGGTAGGGTGAAATGTTCTCTCCTCCCCCCACCATCTCCAGCCCCAGTCAGTGTGTACACAGTGTGTCCGAAATTGAAATATATTGAAGTTTCCTGCTGGCTGTGTTTGATTTGTGCATAGAACTAGCCTGACTGCAAACACCCTTCTGCAGCCTGATTTCTGGCTTCAAAATCAGCTTGCCTCTTCAGCTTGGCCAATAATTGCAGATTAGCATCATTTAAAAAAATGGAGAGGGGATGAATCCATGTACAACAACAACTTGCATTTATATAGCATCCTTCACTCAAGGTAGAGTCCCAGAGCACTGTACAAATGTATTTTTTTTAAAAAAATTATAAATATTTTTCTGTCTGCGCCAATGAAACCAAAATTAATCAGTAGGTAGGACCAAGTTGCTGGGATTAGAGAACCAGTGTGGGAACTTGTAGCATTTTTCTTAGGCACTTGTGAAGGAATGTACAGTATTACAAGCATTGAATAGATTCTGGTCTATACAACTTGAGTTTCAGAACTCAGAAAATTTAATGAAAAGGGGGGAAAACAAAGTTATTAAGTTTTTTTGCTGTTTTAATTGGTTGTTGCACTTGTCAGAAATGGAATGAAAATGTTATCTTTTTGCCAGGTTAAACCAAATGTCTTAACAGCTGGATCCCGATTTGATATGAATCTGAACCCTAATAATTCTTGTTTTTATCATGATCAAAATGTTTAGAATAAAGGGACATGGAATCAAACTCAGAAGAGGGAAGGTAGGTGAACAGGCAGTTCAGATTTAATTATTTTACATCATACAGAACGATGAACATGTGCAACAGACTAGCCTGGAAAATGGAGCCAGTTTGCTTTAGCAAATTTAAGAGAGAAATTAAAAATTCAATTGAGTGAGAGTTTTGTGTAGGATATTTTTGTACTATGGGATTGGTCAGTTGGACCACAACTGTTTCTGTGCCTTCCTATGTCACTCAAAAATGGTTTCCGGCAATCACTTTATCCCATGCCTAATGAAAAGGAGCTGACAGTGCAAACCGCCACTTATGTAATTGTCAATTGGCAGCATTGCTCTGAAAGTTATTAACCATCTGGAAAATGGAAACGCCTGTGGAGTAGATGTTCTGCTGAGGTTGCGATTGAGGCACACCGCCAGGGTAATGTGGAGGCTTTTTTATGTACCACAATTCACCTTGAGTGCTTTCCTGGAGCTGTCAGTGATTCAAGCTATCAGTGGACACAAATCAAGTGGCAATGTGTTCCTTTCTGCAGCACACATAATTCACTTTGATTCCACTTAGCCGGTTCTCTGGGACGCTACCCTGCGTGAGGCGCGCTATATAAATGCAAGTTCTTGTTCTCAACTAAATGCAAACATAAAATCCATTTTTTGAACCAGAAACTTGGAAGGGTGGAGGGAGGGGAACATAAATTAATGAATATAAATGGTAGCAAATTTCAGAACTTTTTTCATTGTATATGTCAAGTCTATTCCTTTCTAGGAACCTTTGTGCATGTGTCAACACTGTCAATAAAATTACAAACCTTAAATGCCAGCATCGGAACATTTGTCAAAAGGGGAAAATTATTTATTTTGGCATAATCTGTGCATTGCGTTTGTAGAGTAAATCTTGCAAATCATTTTTGATATCATTAATTTGTTTGACTCAGTTTGTATATTAAAAAGCAGCCCCTGATCTGTGGATTTACAGTCTGGATTGTGGTAGGATACCTCAATATTAAAAATATTAAACGTTTAAAGAGTTAAGACAAATTGGCATCCATTGTGGGACAGTAAAGGCAACCATAGCCATTGCCATTATAACAGAGTGGAGGTGAAGGAAGTGAGTCACAATGTGATATTCAGGTCTGGTGGTGAACATGGTGAATTGCAGTTTCACTCCCCAAAGAGAATCAAAAATGACTAATAAATAAGACCAGTGTTCCTTTTACGTGTTTGTTCTTTAAATTCCCTCCAGTCTTACCTTTTTAAAGAGAGAATACCGATCGTGTGCAGTAACATGGCGTTTTAATCCACTTGAATCAAGGGAAATGGAGCTGTGCGTGTCTGATCTTTCCGCAATTATTATAATTGCTGAAATAAATACGAGAATTACTGCAGTGGCAATTTGGGTAGAATATTAACGTTTCATTCTGTTTCCTTTCAGCTTTGATTGTTCGGTTCTTAACAAAGCGGTTTATTGGAGACTATGAATCAAATACAGGTGTGTGATCTTAAAAGAGTTATATGTGCTGAAAAAAATTAAACCAAATGTTTATTCTTCAAAGTTGATGAGTAAATCTCCCTATGTAATCAGCCTTTATTTTTTACCTCCCAGGAAATCTTTATTCACGACTAGTTCACATTGAAGGAGAACCACTCTCTCTGCAAGTACAGGACACACCATGTATCCAGGTACAGCTTTGGGTGTTGTGTGTATTGTGTGGTCTGTCTGGGTGCGGATGTGTGTTTGGGGAGGGAAGGGAATTTGACAAATTGTTTCAAAAGATAATGTGGGGAAAAAACTCCCATTAATCTTATTCATTGTAATAAACAATTAATATTCTCCAACGCCATTCTTTCTATTTGGGATCATAAAGCATTTATATTGAATAATGAACAGGGTGAAGTGATTAGATTGTAATCTCTGATGACAATTATAGCACCCTCAACTCTACCCTGAATGTGATTGGCTAACTTTAAAACAGCAGGGAATTTATTTCTGGTCCTATACTTTTTACCTGTTGTAATCTGTAAACTGACAGTAGAGAATAGGTTATTGTGATATCGAAGTGTTAATTACATTTTTATTGTTAATCATAGAAAATGTCCCTCAAACAGCCATCAAGTGAGACATTGCTGCGTGCAAATTGGCTGCTCAGTTTGTCTACAAGTACACAGTCACTATATTTTACAATAATCCTTTGCAATGCTGATATGTTTTGATGATATAACTAGTTGCAATATAATGCAAAGATTAATAAGCCTAATACCCTGGCCTTTTAAATTCTAACTGCATGATTAATAGAAGCCTTTTTCTCTCGGCTTCAATTTGTAGTCTAACCACTCCACAATATCCTATATAAATGCACTAGTAAACCGAACGGTAAAACAGCATGTGGACAACCAGCATCAATGGCACTGTGACACATTTGCTCCTTGCCCTGTTTGGGATGAATCCAAGCTGTGAGTTGCTACTAAAATGTAATCTATTTGATTTTGTAGTACCTGTTTTGAAAAGTATTAATCTGGAATCTACTAAGTTTTGCATTATGCAGCCTGGACAAAATATACCTTCTGCATTGTTTAACACTTGGATCCATGTTGATTGATGTGAAAATGACACTGTAGCTTAATTGAAGGAAATACCTTAAAATGTTTGCTTTATTTCTTAAGAATTCCTCTTTTCCTTTTAAGGTTCAAGGAGAATGTGCACACTTTCCTGATCTCGTGTCCAGGTCAATTCATTGGGCTGAAGGCTTTGTCCTGGTCTATTCAATAACAGACTACAATAGTTACAAACTAATCCGCCCACTCTACCAGCACATTCGCAGAGTGCACCCCGACTCGAAGATCCCTGTGATCATCGTCGCGAACAAAAGTGATCTTCTTCACGCCAGACAAGTCCAGACTAATGATGGAATCCAGTTAGCAAACGAACTTGGTTCAATATTCTTAGAGATCTCCACCAGAGAAAACTATGATGATGTGTATGATGTTTTCCAACATCTTTGCAGAGAGGTGAGCAAAGTCCACATGAATAACAATGGAGAAAAGCGAAGAGGATCAATTATTCCTCGACCCAAGTCACCAAACATGCAAGACCTGAAACGACGTTTCAAACAGGCTCTATCTTCGAAAGCAAAATCCGGCGCCAATCTATGAAACTGATAATATTTAGATTGTAAAAATCCCTGTATATATAAACAGAATTGCACTCTTATTTTCTGTCCTTATGTAAATGGTGCCTTTCATACGATTTACAACAAGATCATCTGAAGGGCAATGAATTAAGCAGCTATAATAGTAGTAGCTGATTATGAAGTGGTGAATAACTCAGATTATTTAAGTACTGTATTGAGGTTTGTTGAGACTAGGACACTCAACTTGTTTAATAAACTGCTTGAAGCTGTAGTGGAAAGTTGGTGTTCAGGGAGGGTGAGATCAAATGGGTTGAAGGGTCTTCATGCTCCAAACCTCTCCTGTGAATTCTTACAATCATAGCTTGAATTTCCCATGGTCTTATACTTAAGTTTGTGAAAACTGCCTTAACATTGAAATCATAAGAGTGTTCCCAAATTCTGCAAGATCTTAAATCTGACAATGATTATCTTTAAGACTAAGACTAGAAAGAAACTGATCATATGTTGCTCTCAATGTAACAGTCTACGTGAGTTACTACTGAACAACAACAACAAATTACATTTGTATAGCGCTTTTCATGTCAGGAGGATGTCCCAAGGCACTACTGAAGGCAAGAGTACCATATCTGCTGGTATATCAGGGCTCATGGGCATTGCCACTGATGACACCCGAGTATCGGGGCTCATTTATATTACTGTGCAGTATTGGTATTTGAGTGAATCTGCAGATTGTAGAAGGAAATTATTGGAACCGCTAGCAATAATATTTCCATTTGATGTAGCTATTTGTTGCGTCAAAGCATCTCAACGCGCCGTACAGTAACTGTAGTCACTGTATGTGTAGCAAACATGGCTGCCTATTTGCACACAGCAATGTCCCTCAAACAACCATGAAACGAATGACCAAATGATCTGGTTGAATGCAGCGAGAATTAAGATGTGGTTGAGGTTCGGAAGAAGATTATAAGCATCCAAGGACTATCGTGGAGTAAATAAACCAGAACCTGCAGGGATCAGAGAGCAGATGGACAAGTCTTAATTAATTTGCGATCAGGCAAGAATTTTATAATTATGGATTTTGGTGTGGAGAATGTAATACTGTAAACTGTAACTTGAAAGATTTGTGACCGAAAAATAGTGAAATGATTCTAATGTGTTTGTATAATGAATTTGTAAATACTGAACTGATGCTTTTTACTGTTTTATATTGAAGAATAGAAAATGTACTGTTTTCTACATCAGTAAAATATGATTTTATATTAAATTCTCTGAATTATTCTTGAATTAATGAATGAATTAACAGGTACATCTTTAGGATAATAAACCACAAGAGTTATGCACTTGGATTATTTGTTAGTATTGTCAGCCTAAACTTGAAAATCATTGCTTTTTAGTGACGTGTGCTCCAGCAACAATTCCCCCCAAAAATTACTTGAGGATGATTCTGCATTGATATTGATCACACTAGGGTTTCCTCTTTTAATAATAAGCCTTGCATTTGATAAGTGCCTTTCATGTCAAGAGGCCATCTCAACGTGCTTCACAAGATTCACTGTAAAATGTATTGATTTTTGAAGTGAATGCAGCAGCCAATTTGCGGACAGCAATAACCTTTATATAAACAGCCATAAAAATGAATGACCAATTCTATCTAGGGGATGCTGGCCAAGACACTGAGAGCAACTCCCTTCTATTTTTGAATTGTGCCATGGAATCTTTAACATGTATCTGAATAGTCAGATAGGACCCAGATTTAACATCTCATCTGAATGATAGCACCTTGAATAATATAGCTTGCCCCCAGCACTGCATTGGAAGTTCAGCCTGTACTATTTCTAAAAGTCTCAATGCGGGGCTTGAACCCAAAACCTCCTGACTCCTAAGCAAGAGTGCAATCACCTGAGTCAGGCTGACACCAAAGTATTTTTTCTCCAGTAGAGTTTTTTCCCACTAATGTTTCTTCCTGCCTCTCCTCCTCCTCTGCTGAAGGCATTTGATTTCCCTTCATATTCTGGTGGGGTACAGATCCACTGATGATGGGCACCCCTTTTCTCTCCTCCCCAGATATCTTGACTAGGTGGCTAGCAATCACATGGGAACCTCAACAGAAAGTGCTGCCAGGCTATTCCACCATTTTGGGGGGAGATTTCCAGATAACCCTGCTAGGACATGGCAAAACACGATCCTTATCTAATGCCCACATATGTGGACCAGTTAAACACCAATGCAGATGTTTCCCAAGAAAGAGAGGGAATCAGAGAGAAAGGTGGGAGAGGGAGGAAAGTCACTTTGACAGCTCTTATTCAATTGAAACAGAATAAGATGTTGTAAAGGTGCAAATGCTTTCTTAAAACTCAATATCTTGTGAAATGATTAGTCAGGTTACTACTGATTCATTGAGCATTTTATTCTGGTTTCGGATTAAGCCTCTGATGTGTTGAGGCTTGAATCAAAGAACAGCTCAAATTATTAACTATTCAATTACGTTGAGGATCTTATATAGGTGTTCCTGAGCTACAGAGTGAAAACAGGCACAAAGCATGAATCAACTACAATTACATTTTGTAACTGGTCAAAGTGACAAAGACATTCTCTCCATCTGTAACCAGGGCTCCCTCTGCCTCCTCGTCCTACTCGACCTCACTGCTGCTTTCGACAACGTCGACCACTCTATTCTCATCCACTGCCTCCCCTCTCACCTCAACCTGTCCTTGACTGGTTCAGATCGTATCTCTCACACCGCATGGACTTCATCTCCTCAAACGGCTTCTATTCTGGCCTCCGGACCGCCTTATGTGGAGTTCCTCAGGGCTCTGTCCTTGGTCCCCTCCTCTTCAATATCTACATGCTCCCTCCTGGTGACATCATCCGCAGACATGAGGTCAACTTCCACATGTATGCGGATGACACCCAACTCTTCCTCTCTGCCTCCACCCTTGACTCCAGGACTACTGCTGTCCTGACAGAATGTCTGTCAGACATCAAGTCCTGGATGAGAGCTAACTTTCTTCAGTTGAACGTCAACAAGACCGAGGTCCTCCTGATTGGCTCCCGTCAGTGGTTCCTCACCTCAGGCGCTGATAGCATCACTATCCATGGTTGCACACTCCACCTGCTAAGCCAGTCGGAACCTTGGGGTCTTGTTTGACCTTCAACTAAAATTTCTACCCCACATCTGCGCCATGACTTGCTCTGCCTTCCCCCACCTCCGTAACATTGCCCGGCTCCTCCACTGTCTCGCACTGCAGGCCACCGAAACCCTCACACATGCTTTCATTACATCGAGGCTCGACTATGCAATCTCATTGCTTGTCGGCCTCACCAACTCCTCCCTCCACAGGCTGCAGATCATCCAGAACTTTGCAAACCATGTCCTCTCCCGCACTAGGCCGCGGCCCTATCACCCCCAACCTTGCCCAACTCCACTGGCTTCCCATCACACAGAGGATACAGTTCAAGATCCTGGTCCTCACCTTCAAAGCCCTTCACGGTCTTGCTCCTCCCTACCTCTCCAACCTCCTAACCCCTTACCATCCTGTTCATTCCCTCCACTCAGCGGGCTCCGGCCTGCTTCACATCCCCTGCCTTGCTCGCTCCACTGTTAGCGAGCGGGCCTTCCGCCACTCCGCCCCCACTCTCAGGAACTCCATCCCACAGTCCCTCCGTCTCGCCCCCTCCCTCGCCACCTTCAAGACCCATCTCAAGACCCTCCTCTTCAACCGCGCCTTTGATCTCCCTGCTTCCCCCACTGCCCTCCATCCTCCCCCACCCCTACCCCCAGCTCAAGTCCATAACTCGACCTGTCCAGCGCCTTGGGATGTCCTCCCGACGTGAAAGTCGTTTTAGAAATGTAATTTTGTTGTTGTTGTTGTTGTTGTAACATACGAGATATTGAATTTACATCTAATTTTCCTGGGCTCATTTAAAATCCTGTTTGACTCTGGAATGGAAGGTCAGTAGTATATGTATTCTGGAAGGATGAGATCAAATGTGCCAAAGGGCTTTCTTCATCCACACCTCTCATGATCTGGTGAAATTATTTTGCACCAAAACCTATTGCCTTGATAGCACAAAAGAGCTTGATACCAGTATATGAAAATCAGGCTGCAATATGTTTGGCTGTCAATGTACATCACAAACCTACAACAGAGACGAAAAGGCAACAGCTAATATTAATAATCCTTGCATTTGAAGCAGCGCCTTTTCATGTTGTCGAGACATCTGAAAAAAACACTTTACAGGAATTCAATGACAACTTACACTTATATAGCGCCCTCCACACAGGGTAGCATCCCAGAGCGCTTAAAGCAATACACTGCAAAGTGGTGCGACTGTGCATTTTGTGGTCTAATGCAACAACCAATTTGTGCATACCTATGTCCTACAAACAGCCATGGAGTGAATTAAACAAAAGTACAGTATATAGGAAATGGCTGTAGGGAATAATTCCACTCTAATTGCATTTGTGTTTTTTTTACGCATACAAGATGAAACCTTTGCTTATTACACCACAGTTTGTAGATCACTCCCTGCTGTGGCATAATCCAGCACTGTAATGCTCTTGTTGACTGTTACATGATCGATTGACTAAATAACTTCAACAACGGTTCCCACAAGTGGCATGTAAACATTTTAAAGTAGCTCCTGTGAGTTCAAGAGGAGCATAAATCATTGATCGTGAATGAGCCATGAAATAATCTACACTTGGATCTAAATATTTGTCATCTATACTTTAATGTGATATTTTTTATATGGGTATCATTATTTCTTTTGCTGAACACACTCAAAGTCTATCTGTAGCAAATATAACACTGTTATACCCATAAGTATGTAAGTGGCTCATCAGCAAGCCTTGTAGGGGCAGACCAGTCACTAGGAGCAGATTGGTAGAGGCCTAGGAAGTCACAGAGGTAGGGAGGAGCAAGGCCATGGAGAACTTTGAAGGTGAGGTCTAGGATCTTGAACTGTTTACCCTGAGGGATGGGCAGCCAGTGGAACCGGTTGAGGATGGGGGTGATAGGGAGAGAGAGCATTCTATTCCATTCCAGACATTAGGAAATTTCCATTCTGGAAGTCTGGTTTGGATACTCTTAAGCATAGTGATGGCTTTAGGGTAAAAAAAATTAGGAAAATTACATTGATATTTAGAATAAAATGATTTTGTAGGTTGAAAATGAGAAGTGGAACATTTCCCCAGAGAGAGATAGAGTGTAGAACTAGTGAATAATCAACAGCTTAGACCAACAATACCAGATTAGCCTTTCCAAAGTCTCAGCATATTAATCTTCAACTATAATCTTTAGAAAGAACTTGCATTTTTAAAGCACATTATCATGTCACGTTTAATTACCCTAAAGTATAGTGATACTTTTTGTAGGCAAATGCGCAGCACAAGTCCCCTAAACAACCATAAGGTGAATGACCAATTTATCTTGAGGATTGTGTGCCAGAACATTGAACTGTTTTCAAACAGTGACGTGGAATTTTTAACATCCATTTGAAGTACATGTGGTCCTTGGTTAGACCTCTCTCCTGAAGGACGGCACCTCTGATAATCCAGACAATCCCAGCACTTCACAGGAATGTCACTCAGTTTTAAGCTCAGTTCCTGAGACTGTCTAAGACCGCTAACCTTATGGCAAAAGTGTGTTTGCATCTAACAATCCACTTAAAAAATATAAAGCTCATCCTTAATAGAAAGTGTCTCATTGGAAAGAAATCAGGGAAGGTTTCGTAATTCAAAAAGTATACTGTAGCCTTTCATGTTAAAATACATTAAAATACAATAGAATATACAGCACAGAAACAAGCCATTCGGCCCAACTGGTCTATGCCAGTGTTTATGCTCCCCATGAGCCTCCTCCTGCCCTTCCTCAACTAAGCCTTCAAGCATAACCATGTTGAGAAGACATCTCAAAAGTGTTTTGCACAACTGACTGGGAGCAGTGGTGGAGATGAAATGCGGGAAAAAGGGAACGAATGTGCGGTCAGCCACAAAGGTCTTTAGGCGGGTTTTAAAGGTGAGGAAGGAAGAGTCAAAGTGGAGGGATTCCAGGATAGAATTCCAGAGAACAGGAACAGAATGAAAGCTTCCTCACTATTGGGTGGGCTAATTGGACGGAGGCTGTGAAGCTGAGCAGAGGGAGAGGCCTACTTGGAGGATATATATGGAGTAAATCATACAAGAAAAAATATGTAATTTTTAATAGGGATCTATTGACATTGCCAGGTTGTACCACACGATAGCCTTCCCACTAAAACTGC